CACACACACACACGTGGGGGTGGGTGGGTGTGGGTGGTGGTGGCCTTACACACACACGTGGGGGTGGGTGAGTGGGTGTGGGTGGTGGTGGTGGCCTTACACACACACGTGGGGGTGAGTGGGTGTGGGTGGTGGTGGTGGCCTTACACACACACATATGGAGCCTTACAAAGACAAAGATCCCCACCTTCTCCCCCGTGTAGCCTTCACAGACTGTTGGGGCAAGTGCTGTTAGCGAGCACCTATGAAGGCCGGCACGGCACACGAGGAGGTGGGTGGCCAGCACCACGCCCGGCCGCCTTTGTCTCCCTAGCGGCGACGTTTACACACCGCACCAGGTACTCATTTGAGGCTGAGTCGACCTAGGGGAGGCCCAGGACCGGTTGAGATTATCGTGACTGGTGTTGACCGCGTGCGGGAATTGAACCTGGGTCGCCGGGGTTTGTAGCGCAGCGCGCTAACCGCTGCACCACCGCTCCTCCCGTGAGCTTTACACACACACACAAAATAAAGATACCCCGTATAGCCTTTAACGGGCTGTCGGGGCAAGTGTTTGTATGTGAGTGTGTGTCTTTGTGGAGAGCGGTGGCGCAGCGGTTAGCGCACTGCGCTACGAACCCCGGGGGAACCCGAGTTCGATTCCCGCTCGCGGCCAACACCGGTGACGATTATTTTAACCGGTCCTGGGCCTCCCCTTAAATCGACTCGGCCTCAAATGAGTCCCTTGTGCGGTGTGTAAAAACATCGCCACTGGGGAGACAAAGGCAGGCCGAGCGTGGTGCTGGCCAATCACACCCTCTCGTGTGCCCTACTAGCCTTCATAGCTGTGAAGGCTACACATGGGGAGACAAAGGCGGCCGGGCAGATCGGTGGCGTCCACCACACTCCGTTGTGTTGCGTTCCGACCGCATGATGCTTGTACGTTGAACTTCTTGCGAGACAACGACCCGTGAATCTATGGGTCTCTGTGTGAGTCTGTGGGTCTCTATGTGAGTCTGTGGGTCTCTATGTGAGTCTGTGGGTCTCTGTGCGAGTCTATGGGTCTCTGTCTGAGTCTGTGGGTCTCTGTGTGAGTCTGTGGGTTTCTGTGGGAGTCTGTGGGTCTCTGTGCGAATCTATGGGTCTCTGTGTGAGTCTGTGGGTTTCTATGTGAGTCTGTGGGTCCCTGTGCGAGTCTATGGGTCTCTGTGTGAATCTGTGGGTCTCTGTGTGAGTCTGTGGGTCTCTGTGCGAGTCTATGGGTCTCTGTGTGAGTCTATGCGTCTCTGTGCGATTCGATGGGTCTCTGTGCGAGTCTGTGGGTCTCTGTGCGAGTCTATGGGTCTCTGTGCGAGTCTATGGGTCTCTCTGTGAGTCTATGGGTCTCTGTGCGATTCGATGGGTCTCTGTGCGAATTTATGGGTCTCTGTGCAAGTCTATGGGTCTCTGTGCGGGTCGATGGGTCTCTGTGCGAATTTATGGGTCTCTGTGTGAGTCTTTGGGTCTCTGTGTGAGTTTGTGGGTCTCTGTACGAGTCTATGGGTCTCTGTGTGAGTCTGTGGGTCTCTGTGCGAGTCTGTGGGTCTCTGTGTAAATCTATGGGTTTCTGTGCGAGTCTATGGGTCTCTGTGCGAATCTATGGGTCTGTGTGCGAGTCTATGGGTCTCTGTGTGAGTCTATGAGTCTCTAAGTGTATGGGTCTCTGTGTGAGTCTATGAGTCTCTGTGTAAGTCTATGGGTCTCTGTGTGAGTCTATATATGTAAGCTTAACTTTTTTCGCACCGTACGTATCCAACCGCACCAATCGCGGGTGCAGGGAGCGACGCACAGCAAACCACACACAAAAAAGCAGTTCTTAAGACGTTAACACGTGAGTTTGTGAATCCTGACGATAATTTAAAAGTGCACAGCTCCCAGTCGCTTCGTAACATCGGAAGGAAAGAGAGCGTTCCAGACGGCCCCCAGAAGCGCATCTGAAATCGCGCGATGCAGCGAACCGTCTTTGTTCGATGGCTACGCATAAAAAGCCGCTGCTGCGGGGATAATAGGTGCTCGCTAACCGCAGCGAGAGGCGAATTTATTTTCTTTTATCTCGTGGGAAGGTCTCTTCTAAGGATGCCTCGTCTGGCTGAGTCAGGGAGGCGGCGTTTCGCGCCTGGAAATTGTCATAACTTTAATTTCAGCCGGAGCTGTCCAGGCCCTGAGCTCCGGAAAATATGCCCACACCCACCCACCACGGCACACACCCACCCACGACACACCCACCCACCACGCCACACAACCACCCACCACGGCACACACCCACCCACCACACACCCACCCACCATACACCCACCCACCACGCCACATAACCACCACGCCACACAACCACCCACCACACACCCACCACCCACCACACATCCACCAACCACGCCACACAACCAACCACCACACACCCCCCCCACCCACCCACCCACCTACCACCCACACACCCACCCACCACACACCCACCACTCACCCACACACCACCCACTACCCATACACCGACCCACCACCCACCCACACACCACCCACACACCGACCCACCACGCACCCACGCACCACACACACACACACCCACCACAAATCTCCCACCCACACACACACCCACCCACCCACCTCTGCGTGAGAAACTCATCACCTGGTATGTGTGTGCGGCCACAACAAACGGTCCCGCATCAAGAAAACATACACGGTGGTTATGATGATAGGTAGATGTTGATTACCTCGCCTGGTATACAGGAGGTCGCGGGTTCGATCCCGACCCTGACGCCTGCTGCTGTATATTTGGAGATTGTGTGTCTCATCATCATCACGGTGGCTATAAGACGTCGACTACCTCGCCTGGTATACAGGAGGTCGCGGGTTCGACCCCGACCCTGACGCCTGATGCCGTGTATTTTCAGTTTGCGTGTCTCTCGGACCCGGATTTTTCTCCGGGTCCACCGGTTTTTAACCCCACATTTAGAAGCATGCATTGTAGAGTGTTCGGCTGCTACAAATGTCCGCGTGATAAGCCCACTTTCGTTGAGCTATAATTTGTGATAGCCAGCTCGCTTCTGAACATCCAAAAAGAGCTACGTAGCTCAGCGTGGTTTTGTCTGGTAAAATAAAAAATAAAATCGTTTGCAGTTTATAATAAGGGGTCGGGGGGCGAACTGGGGGTAGTGGAAAGGACAGCTCTGAGAACCAACATCAAACGGACAGAGCAAATCTGGCAACAGTGACTCATCTGCAATTAGCGGCGTGATGAGTCTACTGCTGCAGCTGTTGCTACTGCTGTGCGCAACTGGGATATCGTCTCTGGGAATTCAAACTCTGGGGGCGGGGGTGGTGGTAGAGAGTTTCCTGCCAGCAGTGAGCGTGCAGTCCGGGGCAGCAGAATGCGTGGCAGCTGCTGCCATCTAGCGCGGGCGCCACGGTGGCTAGGGGATGTTGACTACCTCGCCTGGTGTACAGGAGGCCGTGGGTTCGATCCCGACCCTGACCCCTGCCTGCTGTATATTTGAAGTTTGCGTTTCTCATAGTCATCACGGTTGGCTAGGAGATGTTGACCACCTCGCCTGGTATGCAGGAGGCCGTGGGTTCGATCACGACCATGACGCCTGCTGCTGCTGTATATTTGGAGTTTGTGTGTGTGTCTCTCTCTCTCGCCGTGGATTTTTCTCCGGGTTCTCTGGGGTTTTCCCCTCCACATTTCGGCGTGCGGGTGGCCAGCTCGCTTCTGAAAAATAGCTAAGTAGCTCAGTGTGAGCCTTACCTGGTTAAACTAACAACTGCAAATCGTTTAATATGAAATGTGAGTGCGCGTAGCGGTGGCGTTGTCTGTAATCCAACGTTGTGGAGGCAGCAGCGAGGGGGGTTGGTGGATCACCGCGCGGATCTTGTGAAACTCCCTTCCTACACATATTCTTGGTTCTGTCAGTAAAGTCACGTCGATAGAAAATAAAAATTAAATGAAAATATTGTCGTGGGTTTTTTTGATTTTATTTATAATTTATTTGTAATTTATTTTTAATTTTATTTTAATTTGTATCTACGTGACCTTATCGAAAAAACCAAGCATATGAATTCCTGCGTTCGAGCAAGTTGCCTATTTGTTTCCATCTGTACGTGTGGGATCGAGCGTTGCCCCCTCGCACAAGGCGTGGGCTTTCTCCCGGGTGATCCGGTTTCCTCCCACGTGTACAACAATGCAGCGTGCTTCAAAAGAATGTTAACACTTAAATGGAACTATCTATTTCAATGGAAAAATAACAGATATTACACTGTTACGTGATAACAAATGTAATGCTAATAGCTTCAAAAAAGTCAAAGAGTCTCCCACTTGTTCGCCATCGTTGTCAACGCACGCCAGGATTCTTCTCCAGGTGGTCTCCAGAGCCCGGAGGAGGTAGCACGTTCCTTGTGGCATTGTGTTGCAAATTCTCAGTAGCGTTAAAAAAATGTTTGAAGTCATAATAATAATTATACACACAAATTGGCTGAAAACATCTTCGAACACAAACCCAACGTCGCAGCGGCGCCCTCCTTAAAAAAAAAAAACAGAGTCGTCGGACTCACCGTGACTCTCCTGCATAAACAAAGTAATTTATCGTGACACAAACAAAGTTTTGCTGTCTGCTTGGCTGGCTGGAGGGAGGGAGGCAGGAACGCGCGGACGGTCACGCCCAAATTACGCGCGGGCGGCCTGCTCGTTAGCTATCAATGACGGCAACTCGAAGTGATCTCCGAAATAGTTCTGCGATGTCTCCTTCCGCGGGCCATTCCGTGACACGCGCGAAGATGCACATGCCGTGTGTGGGTGTTGGTGGTGGTGCATTCTGAACGGACACTGTTTTCATGACCATCATGATGATGACGATGATAACGACAGTTGCTGGCTCAATTGCAATACAAACGTGCGACTACAACCACCACTAGCTAGATTTTAAACAAACAAACAAAACACCCACATGATTTACCAACTCTACTTCTTCTTCTCTCCTCGGTGTCGGTTGCAGGAACCCACTCCTCAAGCCACGATGGGGTGAGTGACACATTCAACGTTTCCTAGCGACCGCGCAATTGCACCGGCCTGCACACTCGTCCGCTCGTCTCGACAACGCACGGGACGTGATGTCCGCACGGGCCACAGCTGCTTTGGGGGAGCGGTGGTGCAGCGGTTAGCGCTACGCAAGTTCGACTCCCACTCGCGGTCGCCAACACCGGTGACGATTATCTGAATCGGTCATGGGCCTCGCCTTGGTCGACTCGCGGCTTCAGATGAGTACCTGGTGCGGTGTGCAGTAAACATCGCCACTGGGGAGACAAAGGCGGCCGGGCGTGGTGCTGGCCACCCACCCCCTCGTGCGCCGTGCCGGCCTTCATAGGTGCTGCTACTCGCTAACAGCACTTGCCCCTGCAGTCTGGTTCTGTGTCTACTGCTGTGGCGAATCGCGTGGATATTTAACGCTAAAAGGAACCCCGCGGTCTTTGTGTGTCAAACGATGCGATGGGGCGTCGCGCGAATCGAACTGTAAAGGGCCCATTTCTTAGTGAGAGATTGAGATTGAGAGAGAGATTGAGATGGAGAGATTGAAATAGATTGAAAGAGGGATTGAAAGAGAGATGGAGAGATGGCGAGATTGAAAGAGAGATGGAGAGATGGCGAGATTGAAAGAGAGATTGAAAGAAATTTAAAGAGAGGGGAGAGAGAGATGGAGAGAGAGAGAGATGGAGAGAGAGTTGTAGAGAGAGATGGAGAGAGATTGACAGAGATGGAGAGAGAGATGGAGAGAGATTTAGAGAGAGAGATGGAGAGAGAGTTGGAGAGAGAGATGGAGAGAGATTAACAGAGATGGAGAGAGAGATGGAGAGAAAGAGTGAAAGAGATGGAGAGAGAGTTGTAGAGAGAGATGGAGAGAGATTGACAGAGATGGGGAGAGAGAAAGATGGAGAGAGAGATGGAGAGAGATTGAGAGAGAGATGGAGAGAGAGTTGGAGAGAGAGATGGAGAGAGATTGATAGAGATGGAGAGAGAGAGAGAGATGGAGAGAGAGAGATGGAGAGAGAGAGAAGAGAGATGGAGAGAGAGTTGGAGAGAGAGATGGAGAGAGATTAACAGAGATGGAGAGAGAGATGGAGAGAGATTGAGAGAGAAATGGAGAGAGATAGAGAGAGAGAAAGAGATGGAGAGAGAGTTGGAGAGAGAGATGGAGAGAGATTGAGAGAGAGATGGAGAGAGATAGAGAGAGAGAGAAAGAGATGGAGAGAGAGTTGGAGAGAGAGATGGAGAGAGATTGAGAGAGAGATGACCCTTTGCCCGCGTGGAGAGACAAATGTCGGAAAGGGCGGGGGGGGGGTGTTACTTTCATGATCATCATGAGATCAGCATTGAGATGGTAATTGGCGTCGTCGTCGCCGTTATATAATAAGTGTGGTGAGAGCGTCCGCAGACACTTGCAGCTCGTCGTTGTATATTCACCGCCACGGCTGCAAACTAATCATGACTTTCTCTTGTCGTTGCATCTCCTCCCAAAGGGACGAAGTAAGTCCGCTGTCGCTTTTTTTGCTTTGCGCAATAAACACCTGCCGAGCATGGCATTTCTGCACACGATCTCGGGCACAGTGGCCGATGAAGTTTACTGCTCCAGCGCGCGAAGGGGTCCGCGTGTTTGGGGGGGGGGGGGGGCAAAGGTCACCTCCAAACACGTGACGACGCTCAACCGCTGGCGATCACAACCGGCCTCGCCAGGGCGATTTACCTGGAAAACATAAAACAAGAGAGAGAGAGATACACTCTGTGCTCGTCAAAGCTGTGGGGTTCACTCTCAACCCCAACGCATCTTAGAACTGACCCAGAAGTAGTTCTGTTGGGGGGTAGCAGGGGGGTCATCTTCCTCCGGCGCCCATTAACCGCCATCAATTCCTCCGCCAGCTATCGAAATTAATTTGGCAGAAGTGGTCCTCACCAACAGCGGCACATATCGAGGGCGTGGCCCCAACAGTCTTCATAATCGTCGTGGTTGTCGTCATCGTCATCATCATCATCGTCGTCGTCATCATCATCGTCGTCGTCGTCATCATCATCGTCGTCAGCTTCATCATCGTCATCATCCTCGTCATCATCATCGTCATCATTGTTATTATCGTCGTCGTCATCATCATGGTCGTCGTCGTCATCATCATCGTCATCATCGTCATTATCGTCATCTTCATCATCGTCATTATCATTATCGTCGTCGTCATCATCGTCATCATCGTCATTATCGTCATCTTCATCATCATTATCGTCGTCGTCATCATCGTCATTATCTTCATCATCGTCATCATCATTATCGTTATCGTCATCATCATCGTCATCATCATCATCATCGTAGTCGTCGTCATCATCATCGTCATTATCGTCATCTTCATCATCATCATCATCGTCATCATCATCGTCATTATCATTATCGTCATCGTCATCATCGTCATCATCATCATCGTCGTCGTCATCACCATCATCGTCGTCCTTAATGGTGATTCCGCTTTGATGTTCAATCAACAGGCGAAGCCGAAGGTTTCGGTGTCGAGGAAGAACCACCTCAAGGTGAGACGCTCGCATCTCGTGCCGCCCGCTGGGCTCACGCAGACCACGTGCACATCGGGCCCGACCAATCAACGGTGACCCCAAGACGAGAGGACCGTGGTGCAGTTCTACAGGAACTGCTGGATGGTTGTTTCTTGATGTGAAGCTTTCGTGACCGCAGGAATCCCATACTCTTTGGTTCTTTCGGTAAAGTCACGTGGGTAGGGAAATAATCGATCACGACGCTTCGATCGCAACAAAAGCAATCGTCATCAGGTGGGACAAGCACAGCAAGAAAACAAAGCCTACTTCAGCAGATTATCCGAACCGGTCCTGGGCCTCCCCTAGGTCGATTCAGTCTCAAATGAGTACCTGGTGCGGTGTGTAGTAAACATCGCCACGGGGGAGACAAAGGCGGCCGGGCGTGGTGCTGAACACTCCACCCCCTCGTGTGCCGTGCCGGCCTTCATAGGTGCTACTCGCTAACAGCACTTGCCCCTGCAGTCTGTTACAGGCTACACGGGAGATCTTTGTTTGTGTCACTTCACGCGGTAGCCTCATAGTGCACGTGGCCTGGCACAGGCGCCGTGGTGACGTCACCGTCACCTCGTGGCCAATGGGCGGGTATTGGTATTGGTCTTTGTTGATTTGAAGCTTTCGTGACAGCAGCAATCCATACTCTCTGGTTCTTTCGGTAAAGTCACGTACTGTAGGTAGAAAAAATAACAAAAGAAAACACGACGTTTCGGTCGCAACACGAGCGTCCGTCTTCAGGAGGTGAGTCACCTCCTGAAGACGGAGTCACCTGAAGACGGACGCTTGTATTGCGACCGAAACGTCTTTGTGTTAAGGGAGCGGTGGTGCAGCGGTTAGCGCTTCCGCGCTACGAATCCCGCGACCCGAGATCGATACCCGCTCACGCCCGACGCCAGTGACAATAAACTGACTCGGTCCTGGGCCTCCCCTAGGTCGACTCAACCTCGAATGACCTGGCCACAAATGGTAGCTCAGCAGAGGCGCGAGCACGCAATTTGCAGCCGTTAGCTCCACGACTCGCAGCTCACGTGTCCCACGTGTCATCCCACGTGTCATCCCACGTGTCCCACGTGTCATCTCCCGTGTCCCACGTGTCATCTCCCGTGTCATCCCACGTGTCTTCTCTCGCGTCTCCCGTGTCCCACGTGTCATCTCCCGTGTCCCACGTGTCGTCTCCCGTGTCATCTCCCGTGTCCCACGTGTCTCCCGTGTCCCACGTGTCATCTCCCGTGTCATCTCCCGTGTCCCACGTGTTGTCTCCCGTGTCCCACGTGTCATCTCCCGTGTCATCTCCCGTGTCCCACGTGTTGTCTCCCGTGTCCCACGTGTTGTCTCCCGTGTCCCACGTGTCGTCTCCCGTGTCTCCCCGTGTCTCCCGTGTCGTCTCCCGTCTCATCTCTCGTGTCATCTCCCCGTGTCATCTCCCCGTGTCTCCCCCGTGTCTCCCCGTGTCGTCTCCCGTCTCATCTCCCGCGTCGTGCCTCCCGTGCAGAGCGCGATGCTGACGTTCGCGCGGGAGCTCCTGGAGAAGGAGAAGATTGAGCGCGCGCAGGAGAAGGTCAACTACCTTCAGGAGCGCGTGGCGCCTCTGCAGCTCTCCGGCTTGTCCAGCCAGGACCTCATGGTGAGCGTTTGCGGTCGCCAATAAGACATCATTGGTGTGATCGTCACCAATTTTCAGACGTGGGCCCCACTTTCGCCGATAAGACATCATTGGTGTGAGCTTCAATTGTTTTCGATAAGACACCAGAGAGGGGGGAAGTTCCTAAAGTCACCCATGACTCGCGATGCCCAATTAACTGGGCGCAATGCTGACACGTGTCGCGCATCACGGCAAGAAGGAGCCTGGGTTGGATTCCCGACACGGGCGCCACTTGGGTGTCCTCCGAGTTCCCCAGAATCCTGATCCTCCTCCCAACCGGCCACAACAAACTCCGCACGGGAAACCGGCGCCATGAGCTGGGGCATCGGACCAAGGCCCTTCTTGATGTTGAGTGCAGGCCTTCAAACCTCGCCCTCACTCCCTCCCTCACTCCCTCCCTCCCTCCCTCCCCCTCCTCCTCCAGGACCTGTGCAAGAAGCTCCACCAGCAGGTGGATGTGACGGATGAGGAGAGGTACGACTGCGAGATGAAGGTCGGCAAACACAACCTGGAGGTGAGAGATGGCTCGCGAGGTGGAACGGGCAGACCCCCAAACACCGAGCGTCACTACTCACGTCACTACTCACGTCACTACTCACGTCACTACTCACGTCACTACTCGCGTCGCTACTCGCGTCGCTACTCGCGTCGCTACTCACGTCACTACTCGCGTCGCTACTCGCAAGCCAACACGTGGGGACTCGTCTACCACCTGTTTCATCTGCATGGGGATAGGTTGTTGTTTAATTTCATTGACCCCCGGTGATAATGACCCCTTGACCCTCCCTCCCTCCCTCTCTCTCTCCCTCCCTCCCTCCCTCCTCTCTTCCCTCCCTCCCTCCCTCCGCCCTCTCTTCCCTCCCTCCGTCCCTCCCTCCCTCCCTCCCTCCTCTCTTCTCTCCCCCCTCCCTCCCTCCGCCCTCTCTTCCCTCCCTCCCTCCCTCCCCCCTCTCTCCTTTCCTCCCTGCCTTCACCCTCCCTCCCTCCCCTCCCCCTCCCCTCCCTCCCTCCCTCCCTCCCTCCCTCCCTCCCTCCCTCCCTCCCTCCCTCCCTCCCCTCCCCTCCCCTCCCTCCCTCCCTCCCCTCTCTCTCCTTCCCTCTCCCCCGCGTGACTGCACAGATCGAGAACCTGAACATGAAGATCGGAGACCTGAGGGGCAAGTTCAAGCGCCCTCCCCTGCGCCGCGTGCGCATGTCCGCCGACGCCATGTTGCGGGCCCTGCTGGGCTCCAAGCACAAAGTGTCCATGGACCTCCGGGCCAACCTCAAGTCCGTCAAGAAGGAGGAGAAGGAGAAGGAGGTGGTGAGTCCTTCAACGACGAGGGGTGGGGGCGGGCGGGCGGGGGGGGGGAGGGGGTGGGCAGCGGAACTTTATTTTTTATTTATTCCAGACCCTCGGCCGTTTACGGACGTTTAGGGGACCCAGAGAAATGCTTTGTCCGGCTGACTGATTGGTGATAATGGTGGTGGTGGTGATGGAGATGCTGGTGGTGGTAATGATGATGGAGATGATGATTGTGATGATAATGATGGTTATGGTAATGATGGTGATGGTGATGATGGTGGTGATGATGGTGGTGGTGGTGATGATGGAGATGATCATGGTGATGATTGCTATGATGACGACGACGACGATGATGGTGACGACGACGACGATGATGGTGACGATGATGACGGTGACGACGACGACGATGATGGTGACGATGATGACGGTGACGACGACAACGATGATGGTGACGATGATGACGGTGACGATGATGACTACGATGGTGACGATGATGACTATGATGGTGACGCTGACGACGACGACGATGATGGTGACGATGATGACGACGATGGTGACGATGATGACGGTGACGACGACGATGATGACGACGATGGTGACGATGATGGCGACGATGATGACGACGATGGTGACGATGATGACGGTGACGACGACGATGATGGTGACGATGATGACGACGATGGTGACGATGATGACGACGATGACGACAACGACGATGATGGTGACGATGATGACGACGATGGTGACGATGATGACGGTGACGACGACGACGATGGTGACAGTGACGACGATGGTGACGATGATGACGGCGACGACGACGACGATGGTGACAGTGACGACGATGGTGACGATGATGACGGTGACGACGACGACGATGGTGACGACGATGGTGACGATGATGACGACGCTTGGAGCCGCCCCCCGTGCGAACCGCGCACTCAGCCCGCGCTCACCCCCCCCCCCCCACCCCACCCCCCCCCTCTCGCCTCTCCACAGGACAAGGAGGTGGGCGATTGGCGCAAGAACATCGAGGCCATGTCCGGTATGGAGGGCAGGAAAAAGATGTTCGACGCCGGCACTCAGTAAGGGGACGCAGCCGCGGGCCTCTGCGGCGACGGAAGCTGCGGCGCTCCAACCCCCCCCCTCATCAATCCGGCCGCGTCCGTAGCTGCACGCACCTCGCCTCTGTCCTGTAACGAGCCTGCCCCCGCACACCCGTGCCACCTGTCCCACAGTCATACCACGTGCCCCCGCATACCCGTGCCACCTGTCCCACAGTCGTACCACGTGACCCACACATCCGTGCCACCTGTCCCACAGTCGTACCACGTGACCCACACCCGTGCCACCTGTCCCACAGTCGTACCACGTGACCCACACCCGTGCCACCTGTCCCACAGTCGTACCACGTGACCCACACCTGTGCCACCTGTCCCACAGTCGTACCACGTGACCCACACCCGTGCCACCTGTCCCACAGTCGTACCACGTGACCCACACATCCGTGCCACCTGCTCCGCAGCCGTGCCACCTGTCCCACACCCGTGCCACCTGCACCACACCCGTGCCACCTGCCCGCACCTGTACGCGCCCTTCCTTCCGCTGCTTCCCGTACTAACCTTCCCGTACCCTGTGTAACACGCGCCCTCGCCTGTTAGCGGAAGGCCAAAAGCGTCCACGGGAGTTTAATGAATGCGCGCGCGAGCTCCAGCCTACAGCTTGTACCCCCCCCCCCCCCTCGCCCGCCCTCCCCCCCCCCCCCCGAATTGAAATAAAGACACCGCACGTGCTGTGTGCCGCTGGTTGACCATGGACGGAGAAGGGGGTGCCTGTCGCTTTCTTCACTTGCGTGGGGGGTAGGGCCGGAGTTGGTTTGGGTGCCACCGTGGCTAGGAGATGTTAACTACCTCGCCTGGTATGCAGGAGGTCGTGGGTTCTATCGCGACCCTGACGACGCCTGCTGCTGTATATTTGGAGTTTGCATTTTCTCTCTCTCATCAATCATCATCATCATCACCGTGGCTAGGAGATGTTAACTACCTCGCCAGGTATGCAGGAAATCGTGGGTTCAATCGCGACCCTGACGACGCCTGCTGCTGTATATTTGGAGTTTGCATTTTCTCTCTCTCTCAGCAATCATCATCATCACGGTGGCTAGGAGATGTTAACTACCTCGCCTCGTATGCAGGAGGTCGTGGGTTCTATCGCGACCCTGACGACGCCTGCTGCTGTATATTTGGAGTTTGCATTTTCTCTCTCTCTCTCATCAATCATCATCATCATCACGGTGGCTAGGAGATGTTAACTACCTCGCCTGGTATGCAGGAAGTCGTGGGTTCGATCGTGACCCTGAAGACGCCTGCTGCTGTATATTTGGAGTTTGCATTTTCTCTCTCTCTCATCAATCGTCATCATCACGGTGGCTAGGAGATGTTAACTACCTCGCCAGGTATGCAGGAAATCGTGGGTTCTATCGCGACCCTGACGACGCCTGCTGCTGTATATTTGGAGTTTGCATTTTCTCTCTCTCTCTCTCATCAATCATCATCATCATCATCACAGTGGCTAGGAGATGTTAACTACCCCGCCAGGTATGCAGGAGGTCGTGGGTTCGTTCCCGACCCTGACGCCTGCTGTACATTTGGAGTCTGCGTCTCTCTCATCATCATCACGGTGGCTAGGAGATGTTACCTATCTCGCCAGGTACACAGGAGGTCGTGGGTTCGATCCCGACCCTGACGCCTGCTGTATGTTGGAGTCTGCATCTCTTTTTCTCTCTCCCTGTGGTCGCGTGGATTTTTCTCCGTGTTCTCCGCTTTTCCCCTCCACATTTATAATCAACGTCACGCGATTGTACATATTTGGCTGCTGCTATAACATGTCCACACGATGATGATGATGATGATGAAAATCCCAATCTGTTGAGCTATCATTTCTGTTGAGCTATCATCCTTGGTTCTTTCGGTAAAGTCACGTAGGTATAAAATAAAATAAATCACGACGTTTCGGGCGCAACCCAAGCGTCCGTCATCAGGTGGGAAAGCATGGCCTGCTGCTGAGGCTTGTGTTGAGCCCAAAACGTCGTGATTTCTTTTATTTTTCTTCCTACGTGACTTTACCGAAAGAACCAAAAAAGTATGGATTCCTGCAGTCACGAAAGCTTCAAATCAAGAAGGAGATATATAGCTCAGTAGGACCTTACCTGGTGAAATCAAATATAGTTTGATAGTTTAGTTTGCATGCCTGTCAACACTACCTTATTACAGACCAATTCAGACCGTTACTGGTCACTCCGCGCCCTTATAAATCTCAACGTTCATCCTACAAAGTCCCATCACAAGGGAGAAACACATAGGCACAATATTCTTGGGTGTTTCGGTAAAGTCACTCAGATAGGTTCAAAGAAAATAGCCAAAAAATAATTACGACGCTTCGATCGCAACACAAGCGATCGAAACGTTATTTCCTGCTAACCTACCGACGTGACTTTTACCGAAAGAACCAAGAATATGAATTCAAAAAATAGACGAACATTTTTTTGTTGTTGCCCGTATTGAAACGGCTGCACGCCGTATTTAACCCCGTCAAACTCAATGTCTCTGCACGAATGAGACGGAGTTGAAACCGCGTGGGTTTCACGGCCGCGAGAGTGCCTCTCCTGGGTACAATAGGTCGTGAGTTGCGCTGTCATTGTGACGTCACTGAACAACGTCACCCACGCGCGCGCTCGCTGGGGAATGGCCCCCGGAAGTGGGGGGGAGTGCCGTGGAACGACCGTCCGAGGATGCTTCACGTGACCCAATTGTTTTTTTGTTTTGCTTGTTTTGTTTGTTATACACTCACGAGATCGCGAATGAACGCAGATATGTCTTTAATCCTCCTGGTTCTTTCGGTAAAAGTCACGCAGAATGGACATAAAATGATCAAAATGAAACGTAATAAAATAAAATTCTCACGACGTTTCGGCCACAACACAAGTAGCCTTCTTCAGGTGAAGGAACAGAACTGTCGGGACGACACTGCAGTGTTCACTGAAGCTCTGTCGTCCCGACAGTTCTGTTCCTTCACCTGAAGAAGGCTACTTGTGTTGTGGCCGAAACGTCGTGAGAATTTTATTTCATTATGCTTTCTTTTTATTATTTTATTTCCATTCTGCGTGACTTAACCGAAAGAACCAGGAGGATGAATCCCTGCAGTCACGAAAGCTTTAAATCGAAATGTCTTTAATCGTGACAGGTATTGATTAATGGGTGGTTTTTGTGTAGCCATTGGGTCACTCAGCAGTAATCATCAACTCCTCTGCACTTGAGAACCTCGTAAAACCACAGCTCAGTCTTCTGTGAGTCTGTAGGTCTATGAGTCTCTATGTGAGTCTATATGTGAGTCTGTGGTTCTCTATGTGAGTCTGTAGGTCTATGGGTGTCTGTGGGAGTCTGTGGGTCTCTATGTGAGTCTATGGGTCTCTATGTGAGTCAATGGGTGTCTGTGGGAGTCTGTGGGTCTCTATGTGAGTCTATGGGTCTATGGGTGTCTGTGGGAGTCTGTGGGTCTCTATGTGAGTCTATGGGTCTCTATGTGAGTCTATGGGTCTCTATGTGAGTCTATGGGTCTCTGTGAGCCTAGGAGTATAGATGTGAGTCTATGCGTCTCTATGTGAGTCTATGGGTTTCTATGTGAGTCTATGGGTCTCTGTGTGAGTCTGTGGGTCTCTATGTGAGTCTGTGGGTCTCTATGTGAGTCTATGGATCTCTATGTGAGTCTATGGGTCTCTACGTGAGTCTATGGATCTCTATGTGAGTCTATGGGTCTCTATGTGAGTCTATGGGTCTCTGTGTATGTCTATGGGTCTCTGTGTGAGTCTATGGGTCTCTATGTGAGTCTATGCGTCTCTATGTGAGTCTATGGATCGCTATGTGAGTCTATGGGTCTCTATGTGAGTCTTTGGTTCTCTATATAAGTATATGGATCTCTATGTAGGTCTATGGATGTCTGTGGGAGTCTGTGAGTCTCTATGTGAGTCTATGTCAGTCTGTAGGTCTATGAGAGTCTATGTGAGTCTATATGTCTCTATGTATGTGGGTCTCTATGTGAGTCTGTAGGTCTATGGGTCTCTGTGTGAGTCTATGGGTCTCTGTGTGAGTCTATGGGTCTCTATGTGAGTCTATGCGTCTCTATGTGAGTCTATGGATCTCTATGTGAGTGTATGGGTCTCTATGTGAGTCTGTGGGTCTCTATATGAGTATATGGATCTCTCTGTAGGTCTATGGATGTCTGTGGGAGTCTGTGAGTCTTTATGTGAGTCTATGTGAGTCTGTAGGTCTATGAGTCTCTATGTGAGTCGATATGTCTCTATGTGAGTATGTGGGTCTCTATGTGAGTCTGTAGGTCTATGGGTGTCTGTGGCAGTCTGCGGGTCTCTATGTGAGTCTATATGTCTCTATGTGAGTCTGTGGGTCTCTATGTGAGTCTATGGGTCTTTATGTGAGTCTATGGGCCTCTGTGAACCTATGAGCCTCTATATGAGCCTATGCATCTCTATGTGAGTCCGTGGGTCTCTATGTGAGTCTATGGGTCTCTGTGAACCTAGGAGTATCTGTGTGAGCCTATGCGTCTCTATGTGAGTCCGTGGGTCCCTATGTGAGTCCGTGGGTCTCTATGCGAGTCTGTGGGTCTCTATGTCAGTCTATGGGTATCTATGTGAGTCTATGGGTCTTTACGTGAGTCTCTGGTGACCGGGATGATACGATAAACTCACTGCACTTGAGAACCCAATTTGATCACAGGCAGAGGCTGAACCCCGCAGGTGAACCCAGGCCCTCATTTGTGCCAGCTCAGCGTCTCCGAAATCTTCACTAGCTGGCCGCCTCTGGCCCTTGGACGGCCTATAGGCTAGTTAGATAATATTTGAGTGTTTATCCACTCAGCGTCGTTTATGCAACGGCCTCTCGCAACGCTGCGCATTTCCGCGGCGCGTATCAATGGAGATATGTTCAGCCAATCAATGAGTTGTTTATACCGGTGGGAGGGAAAAAAGCCCCGGAGCACCCACGCGTGCGAAGCGGAGCAACGCTCGATCCCCAAACAGATGGAATGGGTGGAGTCCGCATTTTGCTGCACCGCGGAATCTCCTGGCGAGCCGGGGGCTATGGCTTCTGGACGGCCACGGAAATGGAGCTTCGCAAATTTTAAAATTAAAAATATTTTCACTTTTTTTTTTTACGTCACCAGATACGTCCCCACTGAGCTGTGTATCTCTCTTTCAGATGCGACCTCGCAATCACAAATGATAGCTCAGCGAAGTGGCTTATCATCACCACGTGGACATGCATAACAGCCAAATACCCTAAACACGTGATGTTGATTCTCAATGTGGAGGGGAAAACCGGAGGACCCGGAGAAAAATCCACGCGACCACGGGGAGACACGCAAACTCCGAATATACAGCAGGCGTCATTTTCGAGATCGAACCCACGACCTCGCGTATACCGGGCGAGGTAGTCAACATCTCGCACTCCATTGGCGCGATGATCCACCAATCCACCGTTGCTGCTACTGCTGCTTCCTGAGTGGCGTATTACAGGCAAGCCATGCGCAGCAGCGTAGCTGCCACCGCCACCAGGCGAGGATGCAGAAGGAGGTGCTTGTTTTGGGCAGTGAAAGGGACAAAAAAAGGAGCAAGCCTGGTTTTGGTTTAAATCGCCACTTTTTAATTCGATCTCATCAAACGGGTCAGCACGTCACAGATGGCTGTTTAAGACAACGAGTTTCACAAGGCTACACAAAGTTTTTACCTGGACATCTTGAAGGGGGGCCCAGGG